AGGTATTTTGGCGACACCTGCGAAAATTTGCGGGTTTTGGGCCAGCCCAGTCAACTTTCTCTTTAAACCCCACTTTGCATAAACATATAAAACACACATGAAACACACACAAACACACACACACACTTACACAAACCCACACAAACACCCACAAACACCCACAAACATACACACAAACACACACACAAAAACACAAACAAACACACACAAACACACACACAAACACACAAACAAACAAACAAACATACATGCAATCCTAAGAAAAATATGGACAACAGAAGCCTCAAAAATCCTATCAGAGCTCGCAAGACATCGCAACATTTGTCCATTCAATCTCTTATCTGGCTTCACAGTAACGAATGTAGTAACGGTAGTACTGTTGAAGTGTAGTAGGTTAATACTACCGCCGCTACTACCACTGCTGCTGCTGCTGCTACTACTACTAGCGCTTGACGATGGTGGGCTGCTTACGTGTGGTGGAAAAGGCAACTGTTTTGGTTATGGCAATGATAGTGGTGGTGATGATGATGATGATGACGGTGGTGGTGATGATGATGAATGTCAATAGGAAAAAAATTACTCGAAAATGTACTTTTTGAGCGTCAGAATGAAACATTTACTGAAAATGTTACCCGAAACATTTGACAACATAATCAAATGAAAGAACCAACCAATCATTTGCATGCTGCTGTGAAAATCAATCAACCATCTAATCAATCAACTAATCAACCTACCAGCCAGCTATCAAACCAACCAACCAACCATCCAACCAACCAACCAACCAACCAGCCAACCAACCAACCAACCAACCAACCAACCAGCCAACCATCCAACCGGCATTGTATGTGATTCTTCGGCTGACGGCTCGACGCTCTTTCCCGCCAATTCTATCTGAACGTGTGGTGGCTGTCTACTCGATACCACACTCGCCACACAGCTGCAGAATAATAATAATAATAATTATAAAAATAATAATAACAATAATAATAATATATTAATAATAATATCATAATATAATAATAATATTAATACTAATAATATAATAATAATAATATAATTATAATAATAATAATATCATAATATGTAAATAATTTTAATAATAATAAAAATAATAATATAATAATAATATCATAATAATAACAATAATAATAATAATATCATATTTTAATAATAATAATAATATAATAATAATAATAATAATAATGATAATATTAATAATAATAATAATAACAATGGGGACACTCAATCAAATAACATCTATAATGGCAATAATATATTGAAATTAATTCAAAATAATGGCGATGTATTGAAATGGAAATTATAATAATAATAATTATAATAATAATAATAATGATAATAATAATGATAATAATAATAATGATGATGATGATGATGATGATGATGATGATGATGATGATGAAATTATTGAAATCGGCAGTCTACTTCGCTCATCCTCTTGTACAGGTGAGTGAGTACAAATAAAGAATGTTAGTTTAAGAAAGAAAGGTTCATACAATACTCCCATCACAATATATTGAATATGATGATGACAATGATGATGATAATAATAATAATAATAATAATAATAATAATAATAATAATAATAATAATAATGATAATAATAATAATAATTGGTATCGTCATAATCGGTAATATTCGAACCGGATTCCTTGAAATTTATTCTCGGTGAGTTCGATAACCGATCCCGACTCGAGGGGTCGCTGCTCGATCAGGATGTCCGTGGAGTTGAAGTGTACGAAGAATATTCTAAGACTCGTTAGAGGCACTGATAATGATGGTGATGATAGTGGTGGTGATGATGATGACGGTGATGATGATGACGATGATGATGGCGATGATGATGATGATGGTGACGATGGTTATGTTGGTGGAGATGATGATGATGATAATGATGGTTATGATGGTGCTGATGATGACAATGTTGATAGTGATGATGATTGTGATTGAAAAATGTGTGTGTAAGTGTGTGTAAATGTACGTGTGAGTGTATGTGTGTGTATGTGTGCGTATGTACATGTGTGTGTGTGTGTGTGTGTGCGTGTGTGTGTACCTACCAAGGACTTTGAGATTAAGAGTTGCCGACGAGGGTGATGATGATGATAACTTTTGACAAGTCAATATTCCACTGTCCTCACCTAAAATGCCTGTTTGCAGTAAGAGAGAGAGTGAGTGAGTGAGAGAGAGGGTAAAAAAATGAATGAATAAATGAATGAATGAATGAATGAATTATTAATGGCGTGATTGAATGATTGAATGAGTGAGTGACTATTTGAAAATGAAACAAAATAAAGCCGATAAAATCAAACTCAACCTTATCGAAAACCATAGCTTTTCACAAACTATATTATGAAAAATATTATTATTATGACTACTATAATTATAGTTATAATTATAATTAAAAATTATAATTATTATGAGGGGGACAGACCATGATAAAATAGGTCAACGGAGTCTGTGGTGGTCCCCCTGCTGACGTGATATCTCGCCAGATGGCTGAAGGGTGTTTTTAAGTTCTCCAAATCCGTGATTGTTAGCGTCTGGTTGCCTGTTGTTGTTGATGTTGTTTGTTGAGCAAACAAACAGACAGACAGACAGGCAAACAAACAAACAACAAAATCAAAACAGTCCATTGCGAAAATTTAGAAAAAAACCACGAAAAACATCAATGTTCGCCAGATCTGGCGAACCATGTTCATCTTTTAACGCGCCAACATCAATTCATCATCATCAGTCAGCCTCAATATTAAGCCGCCAGCCAAGGAGCAACAAATTGAAAAAATATTGAAATAATATTATTAAATAATAATAATAATTATTATTATTATTAATATTATTATTATCTAATTTTTGTTTGTTGTTCGTTCAATAAATTATTTTGATGCAGTGAAACCTTTTTCTCTATAGCAATATTTTAAAAATGAGCCATTTTAAACTTTTTTAGCGGTTATTTTTCCTAATTCTAGGCATAGAACCATTAAGATTTCAAAGTTTATATATTAAAAATTGACAAAGAATTGTAGAAAAAATATTTTAAAGATGGGTTTTTTTCTGAGAGGTCAGGGCCAAGGAGGTTATTGAAGAATTGATTTGAGAATCTATTGAAGATTGAAGGGGTAGTTAAAGGGTAGTTGCGTATAAATTCAAAGCTTACCTCATAAAAGTCAAGAAAAAATAAAAATCATTGTCAAATAATAATTTGAATGGTAATTTTTATCTACTTATCTTTTCATATCAGACCTTTTTTCTATTACTACTACAACTACTACTACTACAACTACTGCTACTGCTGCTGCTTCTACTACTACAACTACTACTGCTACTACTACTACTACTAGTACTACCACTGGTACTATAGATACTACTTGTACTGCTACTACATCTTCTATAACTACCATTGTTTCTTCTACTAGAGCTGCAGCTACTACTACTACTACTACTAAATAATAACAATGATGATAATAATAATAACGGTTTTATAATAAACAACAAAAATAATAATAACAATCTATAAAATTTTGGAGGGCACAATTTGTTCATTATCGTTACTCTGATCAATAATTAATGACAGTCGCTATCAAAAAGTTTGAACCAGATATTTTGACGTCATCATCATCATCGTCGTCATCGTAATTACAGTTACCATCGATCTGGATGAAGTTTGAATGAGGATGTATTCTCTGGTGATGATGGTGACGATGACGATGATGATGATGGTGACGATGATGAAGAAGATAATGGAAAAATCCAATAAACAATGTAATTGAATTAATTTCTAGGATTGGTTTTCTAGCTGTTAGCTGCATTTATGAATTTGTGTTTGTGTGTGTGTATTTGTGTGTGTGTGTGTGTGCGTGCGTGTGTGTGTGTGTGTGTGTGTGTGTGTGTGTGGCTTTCTAGCTGTAAGCTGCCTTTTATGAATTTGTGTTTGTGTGTGTGTGTTTGTGTGGCGCGCGTGTGTGTGTGGTGATGATAGATTAATAATTAAATAAATAAATGAATAGATACAAATTAATTGGATTAACCAATAAGCGAGCTTCAAACTTTATAGATGGAGGGATGGGTAGTCATTCTGATAAAGAAGTAAACGAAAGAACGAACAAACGAATGAACGAGCGAACGAACAAACAAATGAACGAGCGAACGAACAAATAAATGAACGACCGAACGAACGAATGAACGAACGAATGAATGAATGAACGAACGAATGAATGAATGAACGAACGAATGAATGAATGAACGAACGAACGAATGAATGAACGAACGAATGAATAAATGAACGAACGAATGAATGAATGAACGAACGAATGAATGAACGAACGAACGAATGAATGAATGATTGAATGAAAAATTTACTGCAGAATTGAAATTTTGTCAAAAGAAAAATAGCAAGATGATACATATATAAAAGGAGACAAAGAAAGAAAGAGAGGAGAGAAAGAGAGAGAGAAAAAGAGAGAAAGTGAAAGAAAGAACTAAAAAGAGAACAAATGAAGAAAGGAAGAAAAAAAGAGGCAGAGAGAGAAAGAGTGAGAGAGAAAACGAGGGAAAAGAAAAAAAATTGGAAATACGTTTCGACAAACCTATAACCAGATAGGAGGGATGCATTCAAATCTCAAATGACGTCACACAAAAATGCAGTCATCAATCACAACAACACAGGAACACATGTAGTCTCTTTTTCTCTCTCTCCCTCTCTCTCTCTATTATTCTTATTCTTTCTTTAACTGTCTCCCTCTCTCTTTTGAAAAGTTCACTATTATATATCTGTGTTCTCTAATTTGTATTTTTAAAAAAAAGTTAAATCGAAATTAAGGAAAATGTGATTGCGAAAGACTTCATTTTATAATAAAAATATAACTAATAACAAACAATAATAATAATAATAATAAACAATAATAATAATATATAATAATAATAATAAATATTTATAATAAATAATTATAATAAATAAGAAAATATAATAATATTATCAACGGGGGCAAATGAATAGCGGTAATACAGCAGCCATTCAGGAAGTAACAATGAAACGTATTTATATTAATACATTCCAGATTTTTGAAGCACACAAACATGCATACACGTTCTCTCTCTTTCACTCTCTCTCTCTCCCTCCTTCTCTTTATCTCTCTTCTCTTTTTTCTCTCCTCTCCCTTTCTCTCCTTCTCTCCCTTTCTCTTTTCTTACTTTTCAATCGCAATCGGCTTTTCTTTTTCCAGCTATCAGATTCTATCTATTTGTCTTGTTTCTCTCTCTCTCTCTCTCTCTCTCTCTCTCTCTTCAACTCTCTCCATTTTCTCTTTCTTCTTCCTTTTTATACCTTCCCGATCTTTCTTTCCATCCACCTACCTATGCACTCTAATGAATGAAAGAAAGATTGAATGTTAATCTATTTCACGCCATTAATTTCTCTTTGTCTGCTCTTTTATCGGATTTGCATTTTCTAAGGTGTTGTTCTACGTATGTTTGTATGTTTGTCTGGATTTTTGTCTGTTTGTGTGTGTTTGTCTGTATTTTGTCTGTTCTACGTATGTTTGTATGTTTATCTGGATTTTTGTCTGTGTGTGTGTGTGTTTGTCTGTTGTCTGTCTGTGTGTCTGCCTGGCTATCTGATTGGTTTGTTTTTGTCTTACTGGATATTTTGTTGCTTGTCTGCCAGTGTTGACGATGTTGTTGATGGTAATGTCGCTTTGTTTAGTTTGATTTAAATTCTTTAATTTCTCGCGAAAAAGAAAGAAATTTCTATTCTTCCAAACAATGCTAACAAATTTTAATGTAAAAAATTTTTTAAATAGAAAATAGAATTGCAGATTATTTTTGTGTGTGCGTGTTGTACGTGTATGTATGTGCATGTCTGTGTGTGAGAGTGTGTTTAGGTACGTGTATGTCGGTGTGTGTATGTATAAGTATGTGTATGTACGTGTATGTCTGTGTGTGTGTGTACGTGTATGTCTGTGTGTGTGAGCGTGCGTATGTACGTGTATATGTAATGTCAGTGTTTGTATGTGTGTTTGTGTGTGTTTGTGTGTGTGTGTGTATGTGTGTGTATGTA